CGGGACAGGGCCCCGCCATACCAATCAATACATATCCAAAACATACTGACCAAATAGGCAACTCCGGAGCAAGTGGAGTACACTAACACCTTCGCTGAGCTGATAGCCTACTAGGAGGAATGTCAACCTGTCTATCGGGACCTGCGGGCATGAAACGCAGCGTTCCCAGGCAAAAGGGACGTCAGTACGAATAAAGTACCGAGTATGTAAGGCAGGAAAGCATAAACAAGATCAGTAACGTAAAGAGAGATAGAGGAGATACAACCTGTAACATCTGAGTGCCTCTGGGGGCTACTGACATGAAATGCATAATACATATATATACATAAGCTTTTAAAAACATACGCCTATGTGGGCATCATCATCATATCATACCCGGCCTCAAAGAGGACTCCATAAAAATGTACCCGGCCATCATAAGGCTCGGTAGAATCGTACCCGGCCACGTGGAGCTCGGTAAACCCAACTGATCAGTGGTTGCACAATAGGTGCCATACCCGGCCGACTATAGCGCGGCTCGGTAGAGTAAAGTAGATACATATATAATGCATGCTGGAATCATGGAGTCACGTTCTAAACCTTTTGGAGTGACATAAGGTCATTGCACCATCGATTAACATTATGGACATCATACCATCAATATGAACTTCACTAGGACTCAAGGATCATATATACTTTCTTGGAATAACTTTGTAAGGAAAGAATAACATGGACAACCTTAGTTGCTAGGAGTAGATTCATTATGAAATAGCGTATCGTTTATGTTCGTTTCACTTTAGATCATGCCAAAAGAATGAAGGAAGAGCCTTAACATACCTTAAACATGTTGAGTCCTTAATACCTTCTAAGCAACTCTTCAAACAAGTCAACTCGATCTATCATAGCATAAGGAGATTCAAAATCAGTGTTGAGCAAAGGCTAAGTCTGTAACTTAAGCTAGTAGCTCGTCTACGTAAATTCGGGCAGCATCTCCCTTGTAACAAGGGCCTCCTCCAATACCATATACCAACAACAACAGCCAGGGAAGTCCAGCAACCTATAAATATCAATAACAAGACACCATATAACAACAACAAGTCACAACTACTTCACGACGAGCGGCAAGCTCCGATTGGAATCCGTATAACCCATATCACCCCTTATAGACTTCTTACATTAATTTAACAGTATCATTAACATGATAATGAAGTCATTCATCAATGATTCCATCCGTATACCATATATTTATAACAAAGGAAACAATCCTCAACTCCAACTATCTTCAATTAGTAGCTTTATTCACTAGTTCATGTCTACTCCATCCATTTAACTTAATCAACATCAAGATAACCTTAAGCACATGCAAGAACACAATACACACAACTCCTATAGTAACTTCAAGTCGAAATCCAAGTTATATTCAGCTCACAACAACCCTCAATAGCAATACAACACCATAGAAGTGACTTAAGCTAATCCAAGTACTATCTTGTAGTTTATCATCCTAACAACTTAACCAACATACAAGCAAGCTTAATCACAATTAGTAGGCTGTTATACTCACCTTATACAGCAGCAACAACTTGGAATTTCATCCAAATACAGCCCACAACAATCCTCAATGACAACACAACCTCAAAGAGGTGTTGTTCTTCACTAGAACTAAGTTTTGATGTTGAAATATGGTGTAATCACTTTGGAATCACTTCAAACCCTTGTGGAATCTGTTTAGAAGGGTTAGGAGAAGTTTGGAGACGAAGTTGAGTTGAAAATAAGTGAAAAATAGGCGTCCAAATCGTTTATAAATTGAAGTAGGTCAACCACCGCCTAAGTGGGTCCCATTAGGAGCTGCTTGCGCGGTCTCGCGAAAACACGAATATCTCTCTACTCCGATGTTGTATTGACGAACGGTTTAATGCGTTGGAAATTAGACTTGTAGATCTTCAATTTGATATGTAGATCATCCATTGATTCCAAGTATATTGGGAGAAAAGTGCATCTACGTTTGACCTAAATTTCAGCACATTATGAATGCAACTTGTGATGACCTTTGCTAACTTTTGTTCCATAACTCGTTTGACTTAAAAACATAACACACGACTATCATACGACTACAATAACTCATAAATTAACCTCCTCATCATGTTAATCACCCTAGTCTCACCCCAAAAGAATATGTTATAACATTCCAAACTTGTCGATTTTTGACGAAACTTATTTTCTTCAATTCGTTTAGCGACTAAGCTTTCCAACCCTTTTGGTACTTGTTATTCATGATCTTAAATATTTGTAACCTCCAAGGTAACATGATTAACTTACTTTATTTGCTTCCAAATATAATCTCATTTTCGAGCTTACATCAATGACTTACGACGTACTCTCACGTATGAAAACTTGGGGGTGTAACACTCACTAAGGCTCAGGAGATGATGAAACACTATGCTGACAAGAGAAGATCAGATAGAGAATTCCAAGTGGGGACATGGTCTATTTGAAACTGCAACCTTATAGGCAAACCTCCCTCGCATTGAGAAAGAACCTGAAACTGAGCTTTAAGTATTATGGCCCCTATAAGATTCTGGCTAGAGTTGGTATAGTGGCTTACAAATTAGACCTTCCTCCTGAATCCAAAGTCCACCCTGTGTTCCATGTCTCTCTACTCAAGAGGAAGATGGGTAATAGAATGGTAGTACAGACCACTCTGCCTATCACTCGTGAAGATGGCCAATTCTTAGTAAAGCCAGTGGCAATTCTGCAAAAGCAGCTAATAAAGAGGAACAATGTTGGTGTGGTTAGGGTATTGGTGCAATGGTCAAATCCACCTCTAGAAGATGCCATGTGGGAGGATTATCAGTTCATCAAAGCCAAGTTTCCAAACTTTGACTCCATCCTTGAGGACAAGGATTCTTTGAAGAGGTGGGGTATGTAATGATCCATTAATTCCCAAAAATATCATTGTTGTTAGCTGGGTTCGAAGTGAGAAGCTGAAGATCAGCTGTAACAAAAATCGTGAAAAAGAGTTAACATAAATTCAAATAAATGGCTGAGATTAAATTAGAGTTAATGAGCTGCAAGGGCCGGGATGAAGCCACGTCAGCTTGTGGTTGTTATAACTACCTTCAACGGAAGAGAAGGCAGCAATCATCAGGTCAATATTCTCTCTTCTCTTTCGTCACTCAATCTCTATTTTCTCTCTCGATTCTCTTCTAATTTCTTCTTCTTCCTTCTTCATTCCGCAGATTTCCTCAGCTATGGAGTTCCAATTTAGGAGATAGTTATTTTCCTTTTACCATTGTAGTTCAACTTCTTCTTTTCATTAATATAAATAGAAAATTATCCCAAAATTCCTTTCAGTTCTGCAAATTAGTTGTTTAATTTCTTTAGTTCTCATCGAGACCATTACAGGCAAACACCAGTGACACGATTTTATACTAAATAATCCAAATTGGATACTTTGTAGAAAGAAGACAATCACTATCTCGATGGAAATAACCCAATAATCCAAATCAAGGGTTATTGGTAAAAAATGAATATCACGACGAAGTTTAACGGAGAAAATCACTAGGGAAAGAAAAAGAAGCAATTATAGCAAGATAGGAGAGAGAAGGGGATTTTACTAGATGCTAATTACCTTAGACCTCGTATATGTTTTAATTGGGTAAATAACATTTATCCATTTAATAAATCTGAATTAATATTTAAAATATGTAATTAAGTTAGTTTTTCTATTAGGCTAATTAAATATCCATATGAGTGCCACATGGCATTTTCTTACAAATTCACGAGCGTGTTACACATTATTAAAAATGCGACGAGGGGTTTTAATATGAAGGAGCATATAGTTCAGGGGTTTTAGGGACAGACTATAGTTTAGGAAGAAAACTGGCAAAAAGATGATAATTTAGGTGGGTTTTTGGGTATTTACTCTTATAATGTAGTAAATTAAAATCAATTTTGACTTTGATTCGTGACTAATTGAATTATTTTTTTAGTGCAAATGTGCATAATGTTACAAAAGCCTCATTTGTTTGCACTTAATGGAGGTCTGAATCTTGATCGTTCAGATCTCAGATATTAAATGTGCTTGTTTTTAAAGTCTGAATCTTGATTATTCAGATCTTAATCATTAAGTGTGTTTATTTTTTTACTTCACAGCCACGTAATAGGTCTGTATGATTAAGATCTATAACATAGACTTAATTTCATTAAGATGCTATCATCAATATTTATTATTAAATTCTGTCATCTCTACCATTATCAACTATCATCATGCCACCCAATACCACCACCACCATCATCCTCAATCATAGCCGCCACTATTATCAACTACCACCACCCACCACCCACCACCCACCATCCCCGCCACGATCATTCTCAACCACAACCAACACGCATCTACCTCAACTACCACAACTAACCACTCCATCACCATCAATAATCATAGCCGGCACTGTCCATCATCATAAACTACCACCATCTACCATCACCTTCCTCAATCACAACTAACACCACCACCCGCAATTATTAACTATCACCACCATCCTCAATTATAAATCGCCACCACTACCAATCACCACTAGCTACTACCCTGAACCACCACCATCAACCAAAACTACCACCAACCACCATCTCTATTCGGCATTCACAAGCATTACCGTTAGCCATCACCCCCGTAACTATCATATTTTTAAAAATTATATATTTTATTAATAGAATATTAGATTAAAAGTATTTCTTTGAATTTTATGTTTATTAATTTTTAAATAAAGATAAATTTTATACATTCAGATGTTAAAAATCAAACAATCTTAATTATTTAGTATTCAAATTTTAATATGCTTCTTAATATTCAGATGGGTATTTATATTCAGATATCCTAATCTTATTATACATCTGGATATTCATATTTTCATTCATATTTAGACGTAATCTTAAAAAACTTAATAAAAATAAAGGAGGCCAAAGTAATTCCGGGCTGGGTTTTGGTATTTAAATTTACAAGTTAATATAAATAAGACCAGCTGCTCATCAATGTTGTGTCTTACGCTTTTTCCATCTCTTTCACTTGCCCGTGGTTTCCTTTGGCAGAATTGGTGAGCGTTCTCCATACTCATCTTTAACTTCTCAGACAGTAGTATATATAAATTCTCTCAATGTCGACGGAGGAGGAAAACGCCATAGAGGCGGCAGCAGCTGCCCGAAGGGAGAGGCTCAGAGCCCTCAGAGCCGCTCAGGAACTTCTCGAAACTCCCGACGATGCTGCTGATAATAACAACACTAACGAAGACGACGATGAAAAGTAAGTAGTAGTACCATTATTAACTTTATTCCTCATATAGGGTATACCTCTTGCTTTTTGTAGGGTCATTTAACAGTTCGTGTCGCCATTGAATCTGGGTTCTGCTAGAAATTTTGTGATACTGCTATCTTGTTCAATTTTTCTGAATGTATGTTTTCCGTAATAGACAAATCCATCAGAATTGGAATGAAATAGACCTGAATAGAGCGGAATGGAGAGGGTTCAAGTACCTCCTTCCGCTCTTAGCTTCGTGTTTAGTGGTTAACAACTGGAGTGCATTACTCACTTTAAAGATAGGGGCGAGCAGCAAGCATCCCCTTCCCTTTATAGGATTCTAGACCTATATAACTAACAAGATGAAAGGGAGCAAGCCAATACTTACCCTAACAAGTTGATGGCTTTTTATCAGTCATTGCACGCAGTGGCGGAGCCAGAAATCCTAACAAGAGGATTCAAAAAAATGCAAAAAGGCTATACCTAGAAGCTTCCCTTTATGTTAAGGGGATTCAGCCGTTTATTTGTACACAATAAAGATTAATTTTACCTTTCTTGCACAATGTAATTTCAGATAGAAGTGGATTCAATTGAACGTCCTTCCTTTACCTTTAGCTTCAACAGTATTTGGCGCTAGCTCTAATAGGAAAAGAAAATTGAGATTACTAATAAATGACTCAGACAGTTTTGGGATGAGACATAATACTTATTGATTGATATATATTTCAGTGATGTCCAAATGAAGTTCCGAAATTACCTGCCGCATGATAAGCAGCTTCAAGAAGGCAAAGTGGCTCCGCCAGTACTCCCAAAGTTTGAGGACCCTATTGCTACCCTACCTCCCGTCGAAGAGAAGAAAGAGGTGCTTCAGTCATTGCACTATTTTTTTCTTTTGTTGTTTTCTTCATGGTTTTCACATTCATATTAGTTGAAGGTTGCATGCTGTGCTTTTTCTTTGGTCAAATATCAGGATCCATTTCTGAATATTGCTCCCAAAAAGCCAAATTGGGACCTGCGACGGGATGTGCAGAAGAAACTCGACAAGCTTGAGAAGCGCACCATGAAGGCACTCTCTCAACTTATGGGTACGTTATTTCCGTTTTCTGTTTAATAGGTCGAATATAAATTAAATTAAATTCAACTAAATAATCAAAAGTAAGCTAAAGCGTCAACTACTATCATATAATCAAGATCTACATATGTAATTTATGTTTTCTCTAAATTTTTTTGCTATGGTGTTTCATTATAATTGTACCACAACTCAAATAGTAGGGCCGTGACCGGAACCCATTGGGGTGATTCACATAGCTAGTAACTATGTAATTTATTTTTTCCCTGATTTTCTTATTTTGTGTTTCATTATAATTGCGTCACGCCTAAACTGGAATGCCGTGACTGTCAGTCAATGGCTTGCCCACCAAGTTGGTCCAGACACCATCATTAACAATATAATAGTGCATTTACAAAGCTTTAAGATGGGCAACTATTTTGGGAAAATTAGTTTAGTAACTTTATAAGTAGCTATATGTATGGAGTTCGTAGTGCTATAATCAAGTTACTGTTATTTAAAAAATATCTGTAACTGTGTCCTTAAAGTTACTATCAGATAAAACTAAAGGCTTTGTCTAAGTATAATGATTTTTATAAGTCATCTGACCTGTGCATATTTGGTTCACCTATCTTTGAAGATCTAGAATCATGTGGTTTATTGATAGTAAGAAAATTTGGAGAGTACCCAAATTATGTTTGTACAACTTGATTATGAAATGATAGTCAACTGTCTCTTTGGTGCTTTTAATTATTTGAATTATCTGCAACTTATTAAGAAAATTATAGTTGACTACATAACTACTCAGTATGCTGTGTTAAATATCTACTTCTGATTTCAGCAATCAATTAGAAACTTTTTGATCAAGCAATCAGCTACAAAAGAAATTACTAACTGATTGCTTGATCTGAAAAAGTTGCTACTTGATTGCAGAAATAACAAGTGGAGTTACTAGGTTTATCCTTAATTTTATGGATAGTATCCTAAGTCCAGGAAGTTAGTAACTTTGGATTGTTACGTCTTATTATCCAAATAGACACCTGTACTTGTACAGGATTCTATACTCGTCTCCCAACTTAACGAGTTTTCATTCTGACATCTCAACATGTTCAGAAGCACCATCTTAAATGCCTCAGCCAGTTAATATGTGGGGCGCGTTCGTTAGTCGAGTACCATGGCTAATCACGTCAGACTGAATCCGCCAATGCATGACATGTATGAGACNGCCATGTTGAGCCCTAGTATGCAGGCTTCATATTCCGCCATGTTGTTAGTGTAGGGGAATCTGAGTTTAGCAGATATCGGATAGTGCTAACCCGTTTCTGATACCAAAACTGCTCCAATGCCCACTCCTCTGAAATTTGCGGCTTCATCAAAGAACATCCTCCAACCGTCGTATGCTTCGGTAATGTCTTCCCCTGCGAAAGACACTTCTTCATCAGGAAAATACGTTTTCAAGGGTTCGTATTCTCCTCCCACTGGATTTTCAGCAAGGTGATCTGCCAATGCTTGTTCCTTGACCGCCTTTTGAGTTACATAGATGATATCGAACTCGCTTAGTAGTATCTGCCATTTAGCCAACTTCCAAGTAGGCATGGGTTTCTAAAATATGTACCCCAGGAATCTGCGTCACCTCTGTTATGCATTTGAATAATGCGTCTTGAATCCATTACACCATTGCACTTCCCTCAACCATCATTGCTCCTCCCTCAACCACTGTGGCTGCTCTTCCCTTAATCATAGCAACTCCTCCTGTGCAGCGAACCACCAGCGGAAGACTATGGCGAGAAGCAAAGGTGAGATACTGAAAGCTTGGTTGGGTGTGTAGAGAGACGAATAAAGTCTGAGTTCGGAACAAATGGATTCAGGTGTGTGTTGTGGAGATGTGTGCTGAAGTGAAAACAATCTGGCAATTTACTCGCAGATGTTAGCACCACCGCTCAACATG